TCTCCCTAATGGTATGCCTGTCCTACTAGGTTAGATAGGGTGGGCGCGCTCCAGGTCCCCTCCCTTAAATATTGCCACCTAATGGGACCTCAGGGGCATGCCTTCTCGGTGGCTGCCCCAGTCCTTTGGAACAGCTTCCCACCTGAGATTCAAGGGATCCCTACCCTTTTAGCCTTCCAGAGGTTGTGAAGACCTGGCTCTTTCCCCAAGCATTGGGCTAGGATGGCGGTTGAGCTATGAGGATATCTGGCACCTGTGGGGAAGGGTATCTTTGTTTTTAACTATGTTTTATGGATAGTTGTGAGCCACCTAGAGTCACCTATGAGATAGTTGGCCATATAAATCCTCCTATACAGGTAGTTTAATTGTATGCCACCCAGAGTCACTTTACGTAAGATGGGCAGCTATATAAATATGATAAATAAATAAAAATAAATAGTCCTCGACTTAACAACTATCCGTCCTCGACTTATGACCAAACGCCTGGATTTTGATCATGTGACCGTGGAGATGCTGTGGTGGTCATAAGTGCGAGGACTGGCTGTAAGTCACTTTTTTCAGTGCTGTCATAACTTCAAACAGTCGCTAAATGAATGGTCGTAAGTCGAGGGCTACCTATAGTGTATGATGGTACTTAACTGTACTTCACTTTTCCTATGAGCTCAGGGTGGGATGTCTTAAAATATTCTGTATGTCTCAAGGCTGCATAAGGATTAGTTATAGGAAAAAGGCTAAAGTAGAATTTGAGCCAAAAGGAATGGTTCTGTGGAGTGATTCTGTGGACTGGTCTTTGAGATTTAGGAGATACTCCTGATATGGACAGGGTTGTGCTTCTCAACAAACAAACAGATCCAGCTTGGATGCCGGTCAGCCACACTACCTTGATTGCAAGGGGAGCACTGTATCACAATTGATAGAGAAAGCTGTGCATCCATTGCTGGAGGAGAAAGACCCGACATTGGTGATGTACACAATCCACTCTTTCTGGGAGTGGTACTTGAAAAAAATCCAGACATAGCACCTGGTCCAAAAAGTGGCAAAACAGGCAGTGAATGGTGCCTTTTGGAGATCCTGTTTAATGTCCATATGAAATCCTTGTCCTGATCATTCATTGCTTTTCAGACTCAATTCAGATTGTTCTCTTTTGTATATTCAAGCCTTACGTGGTTGGACAGTTGTGAGTCACCTATGAGATTTTACACATTACTTGCAAAATCACATACTCCTGGATTCCTCCCTCCCATTTCAACAGGGCAGCTTATGCAAGTCCCACCATGGGTATATTTAACATCAATAGCTAGTTGTGCTTTTTGTGTGGTGGGGCCTAAAAGAAAGCAAAACTTGCCATCATTATTTATATATCAATTGATGTGCTGTTTATATGTCTGTAAAACCTGACTGTTGAGAAATCACCCAGTAAGTCACCCATTTTCTGAATCAGCTTGCTTAAATATTAGCAAGCAACTTGAATTTCCTATCTTGAACTCCTGTAGTTTCAAACAGAGGATAAATTCTGGGTTGCGACCCAATATTTATCTTATTACCATTGGAGTCAAAGTGGGATATCGATGTCTTAAAATCCATTGTGTTTTGGAAACAGGCTTTTCTCTCTTGCAG